GCAGGTGTGTGGGGGCAATGTGTGTGGGGGGCAATGTGTGTGTGTGGGGCAGTGTGTGTGTGTGTGTGTGGGGCAATGTGTGTGTGTGGGTGTGTGGGGGCAGTGGGTGTGTGGGGGCAGTGTGGGTGTGTGTGTGGGGGTGTGTGTGGGGGGCAGTGTGTGGGGTGTGTGGGGGCAGTGTGTGTGTGTGTGGGGGGCAGTGTGTGTGTGGGTGTGTGCAGTGTGTGTGTGTGTGTGTGGGGGCAGTGTGTGTGTGTGTGGGGGGGCAGTGTGTGTGTGTGTGTGTGGGGGCAGTGTGTGTGTGTGTGTGTGTGGGGGGCAGTCTGTATGTGTGTGTGTGGGGGGGCAGTGTGTGTGTGTGGGGGGCAATGTGTGTGTGTGTGGGGGGGCAGTGTGTGTGTGTGTGTGTGTGTGTGGGGGCAATGTGTGTGTGTGTGTGTGTGTGGGGAAATGTGTGTGGGGGGCAATGTGTGGGTGGGGGGGGCAATGTGCTTGTGGGTGGGCAGTGTATGTGTGTATGGGGGAGGAGGGTAGGGAGGCTTTTTCATTAAAAATGATTAAAATTAAAATAAATACATTTATGTCCCCCCTCCCTTCTTACTTTTACTCAAGGAGGAGGGGACACTTCTTGATCCCTGGTGGTCCGTGGGCAATCCCTGGTGGCCCCAGTGGTGAGAGTGAACTCTAGCCCATAGCTCCAGGGCTAGAGTTCACTCTCGCGAGGTCCGGAGCATTGCCGTGGTAACCACGGCAATGCACTGTGCTCGCAAGAGAAGGACCCGGAGGAGCTGCAGGCTGATCTCCCCTCCTAAAATAAAGCAATTATATTTACCAGTCTCCCATAGTAAATTCTCTCGTGTTCTGGAGATGTAGTAATCCAGTGGATGTAACAGTGTGAAAATGTTTAAGGATTTAAAGATGGAGATGTTAAGTGTAAGGAGTTGAAAAGTTAAATAAGAGAAGTTTGGAAAAGTCCCAGAATTGGTCTGGCAAACAAAGAAGTTGAACAGTGTATGTCAATGATTCCAGAGGTCATGTCCAAGAAAAAGTGTCCTCAGAATCCCCTTGTTATTTTTAAACAAATTCTTATCTCTCATTTTCACACCCAAACTTTTGAAGTGATCAATGGAATCAGGTGGGTGTGCACTATTATGAGTGTTGACCTCATTCTAATAGTTCTATTTTCCAAAAGCTGGAGTAATTGTTCCATGATTATTTCCATCAATTCCAATAAATACCATCTCTTAAGGAGTTAATTGATTTTCATGACGAAAATTACGTCAAAAGCTGGTAAGTTTATGGCAATTTAACCATGGATACCTGTCAAGGATCTAAAGCTTTTTGTAGACTTGATGTCTTCATACCTTGCCACATTTTAGATTTTGACACCTCTGTTCTTAGAATTACCTCAAGTCTGAATGGGATATTGTAAGAATATCCATTCTAAGTGTGTACACTTCATGGTTATAATAAATTGCTCATAAGATGTGTATATCTTATGACACATTCGCATTTTAACTTATCTGTGTCTGGATTTAGTTAAACTGACTATATACTGCTTTAGAATATAGATGTAAATGTATTAGTCATAATGCATATAGTGTTAGGATTTAAAAAAAAAAACTAAACTATTCAAGATGCCATGTATGAATAATAAAAAAAAAATATTAAAGATGAGTAATATCTTAATTATATAATCAAACTTAGAATTATATATTTAAAGCATGAGGTTTTTCTCAACCCCTTTTGTTCTAACACATTAGTTTCTAGTGGAACATAGATGCCATGTAACAATACACCTTATCTCATATTAGATCTTAGTCAGGCAGTGTAGATGATTATGTAAGGAATATGGGGGGTGCATAAATTTCCACCAGCATACAGTGAATAATATTTCATTTCCATGAGTGTAACACCTCTTGATCGCTCTGTAACTAAATATAAAATCAGTCTTCTTCAAAGACCGAAACAGGTTGAAACGTGTTGTCTTCTGAATTGTGTACTCTGGAATTATGTGATACTTCACATAGGACAAGTTTGTTGATTCGCACTCATAGGGAATCCCCCAAAATACATCAGGAAGAAATCATGGGAAAAAATTAAAATTTATTGAAGTAAAAAAAGAAAATACATATGGCAACTGGATCCTAGAAGAGCAGTCCTCATGTATGCTGTATTGGTCCAAGCATGTGAAAAATGAAAAAAGGTTGTAAGTGAACAAAATATAAAAATTCCAAAACCTGAGCATAAGACCACTCACAGCTGCTGTACGGGGGGAGACCACCAAAGATGCCGACCCTCAAGAAAGATTATAGAAGTCCTGTATGCATTTCACACTACTCCGAGTGCTTTCTCAAGATGGGCATTCTATGGGATTCCTAAGATTTATAATGGAAAAGGATGTGCAAAAGGGCTGGTCTATTGAGTCTCACACCCTTAATTAACTGATTTAAATCCCCACCTTTTACTTCAATGCCAGAATAATCAGATCGCTGTATTTAGAGTGTCCTTAAAGTTAGCTTGAACCCAAACAATATAAGCACTTACCAGGCAGGCAGGAATAACAAGATATAAAGAGAAAGAAAAATAATTATATCTGCCTTATTCCCTGATTAATTGCACATTTTTTTTTATTCCAATTTTGTCTCACTTCTTGACCCTCCATGAATGAAAAGTTACCACCCGATTTTGGTGGAAATCCTGCTTTAGCTTGTGGAATAGGGAATCAATTTTTTTAAAATATCCCGTTCATATGTGGATTTACTTAAAAGTTTATAAAACAGGAAAGTATCAGCGCTATTTGAGTATAGTATCTTAAAATTTATATATAATCCAAGCAGCTGCTAACCACCGTGAGAATCTTTTAAACAAGAGTGATAGAAAGTAGTAGGTAGTAACGGTGTAGCGCTTATGTGCAGAATTGAATAAAAAAGTTTACCCAATTTTTCTTCTATGTTAATCAGTTATTCTTTGTTAACCTTAATGTAAAAAATGGAAAAAATACATAACATAGTGCAGATTGTATGTAAATAGGTGGAAATAATTTTAAAGTAAGGGCCAAGTGGCAACTCACAATTTTCTGAGCTATAAATCTAGCTCAGAATTAGGTGCTTTAGGATCCGTATAGGCGACCCTCTCCCTTCTTCTCCTTTCTTTGATCCAGTCCCAGAGCCAGTCTATAGGCTCACTTCAGTGCGCATATGTGGTTTAAGGACCACACTCCTTCTTTCAATTAGCAGGAAAAAGCCATAAGTGTATTAAAAAATATATCTCATTTATTGACTATAAAATTGTAACACATATAAAAATATATATATATATATATATATATATATATATATGGAATAAATAAATAAATAAAACACTTATATGGCTGAAATAAAGTCCAATAAAGTCCAAAATGAAGTTTTTCAGTGCTCACTTCGCTTTCCAGAACGCGTTTCGCCAGGTGGCTTCTTCAGCTGGTTAAATTCTGTGATATTCTCCTGGACCTCTTCTCCTGCTTTAAATACCCTTCTTCGTTTGTAGAAACAGCTGTTAATGCTTGGATTTTCGCGGGTATTCTCCATGGTAACGGAGATACCCTGCGTTCCAAGCCTCATTCTGGTTTCTGTTTCCTCTTTCTCGGCCGATACGTCACTTCCGGTTTCGACAGTTTTCGTAGCCATGCGTTCCACAGTGCGTTCCACTGTGATTATTGCACTCCGGTCTGTTTTCTCTCCATTATAGGTGTTAAAAATAGATTTAAAGGACATGTAAACAGTTGTTATACTTCTAAATTGGTGCGTTCTGTTCACATTCAATTCATATTGTACGGACAATTTGCTATTCTCCTTATACAAAGAATTATTTGTGGGTAATACTTGGCTTTATATATCTTTTGTAATTACTAATGTAGTCTTACATTAGACATTAGTAAGACAATACAATGATCATTGCAGAGGAATAAAACTTCAAGGGTGAGAGCTAAAAAGTATCTATTATTGTAGAGAATTGTAATTTAAAGAGTAAAAAATAGAAAAAAGTTACCCTGGTTGAAATTGATATAAAATCAATATAAAAGACATTGTACAGACTGGGGTTGAATAAAAACCAATTATTATATAGAATATGGAATATATATCTATCTGAAAGACGTTTTATTTCTATTTTTAGTATAGAATCTTAGTTCAGTGTACAATAGATTAAAACTTTATTTAAACCTTTGTTTTTTAAAAACCCTTATTTTAAAGTTTAGAGGAGGAAATGGCACATTTCGAAGTCTGCATTTAGACCATTTGGAATCAGACTATTTAGTTTGAATATCCATTCCATTTCTATCTTACTTAATTTTTGAAAATTAAGTAAGATAGAAATGGAATGGATATTCAAACTAAATAGTCTGATTCCAAATGGTCTAAATGCAGACTTCGAAATGTGCCATTTCCTCCTCTAAACTTTAAAATAAGGGTTTTTAAAAAACAAAGGTTTAAATAAAGTTTTAATCTATTGTACACTGAACTAAGATTCTATACTAAAAATAGAAATAAAACGTCTTTCAGATAGATATATATTCCATATTCTATATAATAATTGGTTTTTATTCAACCCCAGTCTGTACAATGTCTTTTATATTGATTTTATATCAATTTCAACCAGGGTAACTTTTTTCTATTTTTTACTCTTTAAATTACAATTCTCTACAATAATAGATACTTTTTAGCTCTCACCCTTGAAGTTTTATTCCTCTGCAATGATCATTGTATTGTCTTACTAATGTCTAATGTAAGACTACATTAGTAATTACAAAAGATATATAAAGCCAAGTATTACCCACAAATAATTCTTTGTATAAGGAGAATAGCAAATTGTCCGTACAATATGAATTGAATGTGAACAGAACGCACCAATTTAGAAGTATAACAACTGTTTACATGTCCTTTAAATCTATTTTTAACACCTATAATGGAGAGAAAACAGACCGGAGTGCAATAATCACAGTGGAACGCACTGTGGAACGCATGGCTACGAAAACTGTCGAAACCGGAAGTGACGTATCGGCCGAGAAAGAGGAAACAGAAACCAGAATGAGGCTTGGAACGCAGGGTATCTCCGTTACCATGGAGAATACCCGCGAAAATCCAAGCATTAACAGCTGTTTCTACAAACGAAGAAGGGTATTTAAAGCAGGAGAAGAGGTCCAGGAGAATATCACAGAATTTAACCAGCTGAAGAAGCCACCTGGCGAAACGCGTTCTGGAAAGCGAAGTGAGCACTGAAAAACTTCATTTTGGACTTTATTGGACTTTATTTCAGCCATATAAGTGTTTTATTTATTTATTTATTCCATATATATATATATATATATATATATATATATATTTTTATATGTGTTACAATTTTATAGTCAATAAATGAGATATATTTTTTAATACACTTATGGCTTTTTCCTGCTAATTGAAAGAAGGAGTGTGGTCCTTAAACCACATATGCGCACTGAAGTGAGCCTATAGACTGGCTCTGGGACTGGATCAAAGAAAGGAGAAGAAGGGAGAGGGTCGCCTATACGGATCCTAAAGCACCTAATTCTGAGCTAGATTTATAGCTCAGAAAATTGTGAGTTGCCACTTGGCCCTTACTTTAAAATTATTTCCACCTATTTACATACAATCTGCACTATGTTATGTATTTTTTCCATTTTTTACCTTAAGGTTAACAAAGAATAACTGATTAACATAGAAGAAAAATTGGGTAAACTTTTTTATTCAATTCTGCACATAAGCGCTACACCGTTATTACCTACTACTTTCTATCACTCTTGTTTAAAAGATTCTCATGGTGGTTAGCAGCTGCTTGGATTATATATAAATTTTAAGGTAATACACCGTTATTACCTACTACTTTCTTACTTAAAAGTTATGTCTAGAAAATTATAACTGAACTGGATCCTAAACCCAATAGTCTTAAAAAATACAATATTAAGGAACTACATATAAACCTTTACTAACCTGTTTTAAAATGTATTAAAAATTAATGAATTTGCAAAAGAAGATAGTGTCGAAAGTAACCTCGCCACTGGTTTTTGGAGGGGCCTGTGGTAGTTGAAAATACTGTTTGGGCCCTTTTGGGACTTATAACAGGAACACTTCAAACTTTCGATGTGGCACTTCGAACTCCCGAATGGTCGAAGTGATTCAAAGCAGCATTCGAACACATGGCAGCGGCCATCTTAAGCCGCGAGTACAATAAGCGGTGTTTGGTCGTCGAGTTCATGGAACTCAAATCAGACACACGACAGCACGAACACCGCTTAATATTTACCTTCCATGGATGTTCGGCTATTCGAACGGGAGTTGAACAGCGTTCGGTAAGAATAAACTCCCGAATAAAAGACATACACTGACTTTACTCACAAACGGCTATGTTCGGTATTTTTAACTTTATTTTGAATTCCCAAAATAGACCAACCGCACAGCCTGATTCTCTGGAACTGTTTTGGGCATGGGACCATGCGTGCGGTCGGTCAAAATGTGACTTCCATAGAATTCCTGAACTGATCAGGGTGATTTTTGGATATGTTGGTCACCCAGATCAGGGCTATCAGGGGATGTGACAGATATTATGTGTTTTGGGGTACTTTTGGAACTTTGTAGAAATGTGTTTTTTCTGCCTGGAGATAATTGGGTTAATACGGTATCTGACTCAATTATCTCCCAGGCAGAGGGGAGGGATTGTATGCTATGTGTGGGAGTGTCATGCATTGGAATACTGTTCTTATTGGTCTGTGAATAATGTAACTCAGTTCCCCACAAGGTCCATGTGAGCGTACCCCTTGCATGGGGATTGTCATATAAGGCCACAACACGCAGCCTTGTCTTGTGATTGTAGGGAACAGCTATACTGTTATAGCCACTAGCTCTTATAAGAGCTTCACAGCTATACTCTCTTGGAGGAGAGGCCTTCTGTGAGCTGGATCCAGGAGTTTGGTCCAGGGTGGGAAGGGACAGCGAGACCCAAGCCAAGCCAAGCTGCGGTGGCTATGGGGGCTACGGTGCTGATGGTGTCCGGTGCGGTGCTTATAGTCCTCAGCGTCAGCTAGGAAGCATCGATTGGCGGAGGCACCCAGTTGGGGTGCCAGCCGGTCTGTCTCAAAGATTATCCTTCATTATCATTTGTTGTACATAATGTTATGATATCTCACCACAAATAAAAATATATATTTGTTATGACCAAAGTTTACAACCTGTGAAAATGTATCTACAGGCTGCCTTAGTCTATTGTTGCAGTAAATTCTGCAAAGGTTCCAAATATAATGGGGACATTTTTTTTAATTATGTACTCCTAATAGTTTGATTAGAAAATTTAGCTGATCAACTTTGTAGTTGCTGATCATCAGAAATGATCAGACAATAGTGTCATAAACTTTCTCTTTTTAGATACTTAAAACACTGGATGTAAATCAATATAAATATATTATTGAATAGTTTATGTATGTTTATTATCAATAAAAGTTATGTTTTACATTAATCTTCTTTTATTCTAGCATCAAGACCGTGTCTATACAATGAACATCTATGCCGCTCTGTCAATCCAGTGCTTCTCATATAGAAGCACCAACTCTAGTACCTCTTTATAAAGAGCCTTAGCCATTTTCAACATGATCATGCAGTGCGTGGTGATGCCAAATGCAAAGACTTTAGAAAAGCAAATAACTTGCCTCTAGTGGCTATCTGCTGGATGTGCGTCAACTAGCTCAGAGGAGGCTCATAAACTGGTGGGATCCAGGTAAGAGGACAAACCATTGCTAAACAGTTTTGACCAATTACCGTGGAACCATGCCAGGGTACTCCTAACCACTGCAGTGGACTGTAATGGTTATGTTACTTGTTGTTGTTACCATGCTGGAGAAACTTTTTCTCTATAAACTTCTACGTGCTATTTGAAATATTATACATGTGTCCTCAGAACACCTTTGCAATACAGATAACACGGTGGACAGCTATCGTTTATGCATGCCATCAGGAATTAATATACTTGGCAGGAGGTATGCTGGTCTAACCACCTTTAGTTACATGGAATAAGTGCAGGGCCGGCGCTACCTGTAAGGCGGACTAGGCAGCCACCTAGGGCGCCCCTTGGGAAGGGGCGCCGCCAGGATCGCCGGCCCCCCCATGCTGCAGCCACCCGAGCGCTCTGTAAAGAGCCTCAGGCGGCTGCAGCTTTTCCCGGGCGGTGCGTCCATGAGGGCGGACCGCACCGCCCGGGCGCAACCTGAGGAGAGGCTGACAGGAGGGAGCACTCAGCGCTCCCTCCTGTCACTCCCTCTGTAGTAGCGTGGCCGAGCCCAGTATAGTCGGCGGGTACAGGAAGCAGCTGTCTCCTGTACCCGGCTGGACTAACAGGAAGTGCACACTGAGTGTTCACTTCCTGTTAGTCCGGCCGGGTACAGGAAACAAAAGCTCCCTGTACCCGCCGACTATACTGGGCTCGGCCACGCTACAACACAGGTAGGGGAGGAGGGGGAGGAAAGAGGGAGGGAGGGGGGAGAAGGAAACAGGGAGGGAGGGGAAAGAAAGAA